TCATTGGCCAGTCCTCCCCACCTGTGCCCCAGTCCACTTACAAGACTGGTTTAAAAACGTCCATTTTGTGTGTTTTTCCAAGATTTAACGTTGAGATTCAAGCTATTTCTCTTTTCTCCGGCAGGCTTCATTGTGTTTGCTGTGATCCTAGTGGTGAGCTCTCTTATCCTCATCTTCATCATTGCCCCACGCTATGGGCAGAAGAACATCCTCATCTATATCATCATCTGTTCCGTGATGGGGGCCTTCTCCGTCTGTGCTGTCAAAGGCATGGGCATTGCCATCAAGGGCTTCTTCCAGGGACAGCCAGTTCTCCGGCACCCTCTTACATATTGTGTTGGGCTGATCCTGGCAACTTCAATCCCCATACAAGTCAACTTCCTCAACAGGGCTCTGGACGTCTTCAACACCTCTTTAGTGTTCCCCATCTATTATGTGACCTTTACTAGTATGGTCATCACCGCCTCTGTCATCCTCTTCAAGGAGTGGAACAGCATGTCAGTTGTGGACATCCTGGGCACAATCTCGGGTTTCATTACGATTATCCTGGGGGTGTTCTTGCTCCATGCTTTCAAGGACCTTGACATTACCTGGGCAAACCTTCCCCATACCCACAAAAACCCAGTCCCACCTCCCACCCCTGAGCCCACAATCATCAAGCTGGAAGACAAAAGTGTCCTTGTGGACAACATAGAACTGCCCACACCCTCACCAGAGGAGAAACCCAAAGTCTTCACAATTCACACCTAAAGTTTTTAATTGATATATGAGAGGATGCATTCTATTAGCCCATCTAACCCTGGAACAATCTAGTGATTTCAAATATTATGTTAAGAGGCAGGATGCCATTTTCCTAACAGTGTGGCTTTATACCTCATTAATACTTCCAGGAGGAAGTAATTTCCAGTTGTATAGGGCCAGGTCAGATCCTGACTTCCTGGAAACACAAAGACTCAATGGCCATACTGCATGCTTTGTATTGGTGCACTATCTATCCCTCCTTTCCCCCCCCCTTTTTTTACCTTCTACCTTCCATGCCAATGGCAGTTCCCTGTGTTGGCAAGTGAAGGAGAGAACTTGACCCTTTGAATGTATTACAGTCCAGCTGACTCTGTGGGGTGTTGTAAAACCAAGAGGTCCTCAGTACAGGCCTTCATCACAAAGATACATAAGCTACACCATTCATCACCTAGGACTGAGACATGCTGGATCTGAGTGGAATGAGGAAGGATTCATTGCCCAAAGCTCATATGGAAATAACATGGACGATAATGTAAAAGTTAATGTTTGCTAGGCGATCTTCAGATCCTTCTCCCTTCACTCCACAGTTACCCAAGGGAGATGACAGGTAGACACTAAAGGTCTATACCAGGTTAAGGATGACCGATAGGCCTCAAACTTGTTGGTGAGTTAGGGGGATGTCTACTCCAAGCAAGTGATGCCTTCCCCCAGGGGAATGGGTGGATAAGAAATTTGTTCCAACAGCCATGAAGGCAGCTGAAGCAGGTGTGGTGGAGCACTTAAAGTTTGGTCAGATGTCGAAGACACCAAGGTCATCCTCTGCATCTCAGGCCATTGCCAGTCATCCTTACTTCTGTCCTGCCACTGGACTTCAATGACTCTGGAAGAGAGAGTGAGGTTGTTGACTTTGTGCAACTCTGCCTCACTTAAATCCAATTAACGTGCAAGTGAAGACATCACCCTGTGATGTCATTGATCCTCTTTGAAACGAAGGACAAATAACAACAACTCAAGGGAGATGGACCTCCATTTGACTTTGTTCTGAGAAAGTCACCTTGTAACTCAGGGGAAAGCCTGGAGCAAAAGAAAAATTTTTTAAAAGAAAGAAAGAAAAGTGAAAAAAAAAGAAAAGCCAGGAGCCAAATTAATCCCCTAGATTTACAGCTCAGTGGTTGACATCTGCTATCTCTCTCTCTCTCTCTTTTGGCATGCTGAGGTACCAGTCACTAGGGAGGTCTCACAATGACCTAAAGATACAAACAAAAGACTTGTCACTACCAAACTCTGAATTAGCTGGTGTGCTTACTCTCGCTTATATTTCATCTTCGTGCCTTGGAAGAATGACAGCTGTTCCATGCTGCTTCGCTCTTTAAAAATGTCTTGATTTCGAGTTGGAATCTGGCAAAACCTTTTAATTTCTGTTCCTCCTTAAGAAGTAAACAAGACACGGTATTTTGGAGTTGGGGAGAGAAAGGAACAAGTATGGGAGGTGAGAGTTAGAAGGAAGCAATACTAGGTCTACTGAAGCCAGCAGATTTATACTCTTTGTTTACTCTGGGCCCTAACCAAGCACTTTGGACTGAAAGACTTCCATGTCCGTCCTTTGTTGCCTCCATGACCTGGATCCCTGGTTAGCAAAAGCGTGCCTTGAATCTGGATGACCTTCTGGGCACACAGGCTGTGAGCTTGGCAGGGTGCACCCAACTCCCTGATGCTGGCTGCTGCTTCCTTTCCTCTGGACGCCTGCACAAGGGCCAATCTCTGCCAATGAGCTGCCTACAAAGGCAGCCACCCAAGTATAAGTACCCAGCTCCAACAGCTGCAGCTGCCTCATGTTCCATCATTCCCCACTCCCTTCCCCCAAGCCGAATGAGTGCTAGCTCATCAGAGCAGCTGCCAGCACCAGGATCCTGGCTGAGCTGAAGTGTCAGGGACTTTAAGATGGTTGGGCTGGGCTCAGGGAGGACTCACTGACTTTCCCCTACCTGTCTCTCTTTGTTCTGTCCCTGATGCAAGAGCAGAGGAATTGGTGCAGATACCTCTGAGGGAAGTAAATTATGGCATCTGTCTCAAAAAAATTAGTAAAAAGGACAACTCTTTCTTAATGCTCAAATGATGTCATGAGTAAGGCTATTGTTGGTTGCCCAGGGATGTGTACTTATACACCCAAGTCCCAAGCAGATGAAAGCAGTTTCTCAGAGATCTAGTGATCCCTGTGGGAGAGCTTATGGCCATGCCCCTAGACCTGAATTTGCATTTCTAATGAATGTGGATTTCTGTCAGGGACTAAATCAAAGCGATGTATTTACTTTTTGTAGTCGAGAAGAACCTCATATGCTTTGAGATTAAAAGTGTACCTGTGAGTACAGAGAACAAAAGTTTTCATACCTCTGATTAACTGATCCCTGTGCCCTTAGGAATCTTAGAAGCAGGGGATCTCAACTAAATGCCCCTAAACTCTTATAAGTCAGTCACTGGGTATGTCAAGATTTTCCCTGATATTCCAACCTGTCCATTTTTGTTTATCAGTTGGGGGAGGGAGGCTTCCTTTAAGCAAGATTCAGTCGACCACAATATTATCTTGAGGGGCAGCACTGTATATGTAGTAGCATGTTGGACCTGGCACCAGGTAGAGCTGGGTTCAAACCCTGCCTCTGACAATAATAGTGTGACCCTGGAAAAGTCACCCAACCTCTCTGTGCCTCAGTTTCTTAATCTGTTTAAAATCAAGATAATAAGGGCACCTACCTCACAGGGTTGTTGCGAGGGTTTAATGAGATAATGTATGAAAAATGTTTTGTAAACCTTAAAGTGCTATATAAAAGTAAGCTGCTATTATTATTATTATTATTATTATTACTACCTTGAGATATCATTTGTGGAACATTCTTCACCTCCCCTTTGCTTTCCTGTTCTAAATGAGCCTTAGGCCATCTATAGTTCAGTCCTCTAGGGATGGCCTCTTTAAGATAGGCCCAGTCCAAGGCCCATTGCTCTAAATGGGGATGACTCCAAAATAAATTTCATTAGGAGGTAGCCTGTCAAAGTAGAAAAAACACTTGGCAAGTCCTGGTTTCTAATCCCATCTGTGCTGTAAGACCTTGAACAGTCCCTTCCCTTTTCTGAACTTCATTATCTCAGTGTATAGTGAGAATGTTGGACTGAATCAGTGGTTCTCAACTGTTTTGGTCCCAGGATCCCTTTATATTCTTTAAAATTATGCAAGACCCCACAAAGAGCTTTTGTTTGGGTGAGTTATTTCTATCAGTACTTACCACGTTAGAAATTCAACTATTTTAGTATCATTAGGAAATAGCTTTGACCTCCTGGACTCCCTGAAAGGCTCTCAGGACCTCCTAGCAATCTTTGGACTCCACTTGGAGAATCACTGGACTAAATGATCTCTGAGGTTCCTTTCCATGCTAACGCCATTGGTCCATGGACTTTGTCCTTTTGCTTCTCTATGTATAAGCCTTTGTTCAGGGGGTTTCATTGGTATTTTCAACTTTTCCCAACCTTTCAAAGCTATATAGAGTCAACTGAACTAGTCCTATACTGTATAGAAAAACAGCCCCCTCTACTGGTGAAATGCAAGTCTGGGCTTTCCTCCTTGTGAACTGGAAACATTTCTGTTCTACTCTGATGGCCTTTAAGCGGCTTGGATGTAACCTTTTAAAAGCTACAAGGAGCTTTCTACAGCTGAGCAGCTGCTGGTGTCCAGATCCCAGAAGTGGGATGCTCTGGGACTGTTTTGGTACAAGCTGGATTTGCAAGACAACTCATGCGGCACTTCAAATGGCAAACCATAATTCATTTTAATTAAATATAAACAAGGAAAAAGGCACAATGATTTGTATTATTCAAGTATTTTGCATAGATGCACAAATATCATCAATTGTAAACAATAAGTGAATCAAGGAGAAAAGGATCTAAACTCTGTGTAAAATCTCCCCAATTAAAAGAAAACTTCACATATGCCCTATAGCCTCGACACATACCAATGAGCAAATGCACTTTCTCTCTCTCTCTCTCTCTGTCTCTCTCTCTCTCTCTCTCTCTCTCCCTCTCTCTCTCTCTCTCTCTCCCTCCCTCCCTCCCTCCCTCCCTCCCTCTCTCTCTCCCTCTCTCTCTCTCTCTCTCTCTCTGTCTCTCCCTCTCTCTCCCTCTCTCTCTCTCTCCCTCTCTCTCTCTCCCTCTCTCTCTCTCCCTCCTCCCTCCTCCTCCCTCCCTCTCTCTCTCTCTCTCTCTCTCTCTCTCTCTCTCTCTCTCTGTCTCTCTCTCTCTCTCTCTCTCTCTCTCTCTGTCTCTCTCTGTCTCTCTCACATACACACATGCCCATGTACTGAAAGTTTACTTTGGAAGGTTTTGTTTTTGCAAAGCCTCAGCCTACAGCTTCGAAAGGGACTGGAGTACCTTTCCAGTTGGTTTCTGAATTTTATATTCCCTGGGATTTTCTTGGGCTTCTATCCTGAGCAGTGCTTCTTAGGCATGGTAAAGAAATGGGAATCAGGGTACAGGGGCAGTGACTAAAGCTCTTTGTAGCCTGAGATTCTATCAGCTTGACCTGCCTATACAGAATAGAGGCAGAAACAATACATGGGTCAGAGATCCAGAGAAAATTCACCTATTTCCAGTTCCCAATGCCCATTCGTGGAGACAAGGAGTAGGAAGGAGAAAGAGGTTTTTGAAAAAGTAAATCATTAGTTTCCTTTCCGTGTTGTTTCAGGGAGAAATGATTTTAGAATTAAATGCCTGGCTTGCCCTTCTCCCATCAGCTAGACATCTCAGCTGTCCATCTCCTATAACTAGGGATCAGGAGAGAGGCTTCCAGAAGGCTAGAGAAAACAGCTGGCTTTACAACTGGAATCTCTGTCAATGTACAAATGGCTAATGAAGCCATTTTTCTTTTCATTGTCTCCCCTAGATGCAAATATTCTTTTCTGGGATAGCTCCCACAGATCTATGAGGAACTGGGTCATTTAGGATGGACCATTTATAAAGGGGCTGTGAGCTGACTGGCAGGAAGAATGCTGCAGCAACATTCCAAATGGATTTGCGATCTGGACACTCTTCTGGGTCTTGTGCTAGGGAGAACATTTTTCAGAGTTGGGAAATTCAAGGGATGTATTCTTTCTGGAATATTTGACTGGAGAGGGCTGAACATTAGATAAAAGACAGCCTGACCAGGTAGACAGAGTTAATCCAAGTCACATGGCAATTCCTTAGATTCACATTGAAAACCAAAATGTCTGCTTTTACCCCTGATTTCATGAAACAAAATTAAAAATAAACTAAGTGGGGGGTGGGAGAGCAATCATTAATGTCTCTGCCTTGCCAATCCTCTTCTGGTCAGCAATCCTGAGGAAGCCCAAAACACAAAGATAAACACAGATTTCTAAGCAAGACCCTCTTGCAGTTTTAGGGAATTACTAATGAGCCCTGAGGATAGCTATACGCACCACATCCCTGGGAAGACAGGGCTTGATAGTGTCCATTCACCAAAGCACCACACATCATTATAGTCGAAGGCCTGAGGGACAGTGAGGTGGGAGGGGAGGGATCAAACAGTGGAACTCCAGGGTAGCTAGTGCTAGAATGGAATGTACCTGATACGCACCAGGAGGATAAGAGTCCCAGACTATTGGTACTCATGACCTTTGGCATTACCATTATGGCTCAGAGGAGGCACAAACATAGCGCTCCCCCTGCTGTCTATGTTATTGTAGATGGAGAGGTTAACCTAGCTGTAGTACCTATCTGAGTCAAAAAAGACCCATATGAATAATGGAGAAGGGGGAAAGGGAGTAGGGAAGGAGAAGTATTCAGACCTCCACAGGATAAGCATCACAGATGAACAAGAAATCAACACAAAGTATCCCAACCAAGATGGCTCATGTGACCTCACACACTTGATCACAACAGCGATTTTCCTCTGGTTCTTCTCTGGGTCCCAGGGTTCCCTGGAGCTGAACCACTTGTTCCAACTTCTTAGAGAAGGCATGGAAGACATGGTAGATGGATCCTTCTCCAGGATGGCTTCTCCAGGCTGAGTCTTGATATGAGATGGCTTAGGAGATAGATGTGACATCCCTCATTAGCCCAATTTCTCTTCCAGTGCCAGTCTTGGAGGGCTTAGGTGACCACTGGAAGGTAAGTGACCCAATCTCTGCAGATATGCTGAGTGGTTGACAGTCAGGTGAAGCCAATGTTCATCTTCTTTCCCAGGTTCCTACTCTCTTCCCCTCCCCAAATCATATATTGCACAAAATGACACTTAAATTTTGTTAGAAATAAGTCACTTTGGGCTTCCAAAAGAAGCTAGACCATACTACTTCTGGGTCAAAGTATCCAAAAATTGGAGGTGATGAGGTTGAAGGTAGGGGGAGGAGGTAAGTTAATTAAGATGGCAAGTGACTAGATATGGTTCTGCCTGAGTACACAGCCACGATATCTTTTGTGATTTCCAAGCTCTTCGTGGAAAAAGGGAACTCCAGTTGGGACTCCTCAAGTCAAGTGTTGGGATCAGATTTTTGAGCTAGTTACTCCTCCAGCCCTCTGGGCTCTAAAATCTGGAAACTTTGGAAAGACATAGGGGAAACGATTAGTTCAACGCACCAAACAGAAACAAACTTAACCACTGGGACATCTGCTGAACGAGACCAGTTCATCCACTACAAACTCTCGGATTTCAAATCCTTTAACGTTTACAGGCTGCCATCCTCACATCGGCCCAGGGACGTCGAAGAGGACACTGAGGCTCAGAGAGGCACACTGACCTATGCCGTAGTTACAGGACTAGTACGTGGCAGAGTCGGGATTCAAACCCAGGTCTTTTAACCAGAACTCTTATTGCTACTATGTTGCCACCCTGCTTCCTCAGAAAAAAGCCAATGTGCCAACAAATCACATCCCTACAGCCTGAGGGTTTAGCGAGGGGTTCAAGCTTCCATATCTGTTCATGGATCTATAAGCCTTTTGTGTGAAACCAAAGCTGGGCTAATCAACCGACTTCATTACCTCCCCCATCCCCACCCAGAATAGGCAACACACAGAACAACTGTCCAAAGGCATCATTTGGACTACGGACAGCACGAGGCCATAGCTGTGTCTGGTCTTCCGCCCACAGCGAACTGCACTCATCTGTTCTGCACCCCAAGGGCAGGAAGAGGCAATTTGTACCTGTTCCTGTTCTAAATGCTTCCATGAGACACACACCTTAGGAGCTGGAGTCACTAGTGGCTGAAGGTAGCGGGGGCTGCTTCCAGCCACAGGCGGCAGCAAGGCAGAGGAGCCACCTTTCTTTGGGAATGTCTTGCGACCCAGCACCGGATTGGCAGGCAGAGCTTTCTGGGGTGGGCGGGGTCTGGAGAACTCCTAAGGAGAAAGTAAAGAGACTTTCAGCCTGACTCTAAACAGACAGGGCAATAGCAGAGACCAAAACACGGGACTGGTCTCCTCGGGGTCACCAAGCCTGCTGGGATGATACAGAAGTACCATGGAGGGCAAAAGTTCATCCAGTTCATGGGATTTAGAGTCAGAAGGGTCCTTGGAAATGATCTACTCCAACTCTTTCAATTTCAGGGAAGTGAGCTGGAATCCTAGGACAACTCAACTGAATAGGTTAAAGAATCCACAGAACTTCAAAGATGGAAGGCACCCTACAGATCACTTAGGCCAGCAGCCCTCCTGCCTGCCACCACCCATTATACAGATGAAAAAACGGGCCCAGAGAGGTCAAGTGACTTGCCTAAGGTGATGGCATTAGGAAACAGGACTTTATGTGAAATAGTCAGGGAGGATGATAGGGGTCCAGCCAGCTAACGATGATAATGGTTGATCGATTGATTGATGATAACAGTATATATTCATTTAGCATTTTAAAGTTTTAAAAAATCTGTTCACAGATATGATCTCACAAGAATCCTCACAGGAAATCTACATGAAGTAGACAGGGCACATATTAATTCCATTTGACAGATGAGAAGGGAGAGAGGGGCTAAATGATTTACTTAAAATTTCACAGCTTTTATAGGCAGAGCTACTACTAGAACTCAAATCTGACTCAAACCCTTTGTTCTTGCCATCAGCCCCAGTGAGCAAGAGGAGAGAAAAGGAATCGTAGTGGAAATGGATTGTAAAATGGGAGTTTTGGAGAGAAACACAGAGCTTTCAAATTCCACAATTTTGATTTTGACTCAGTTCTTTCTTTCCAACTTTCTCTTCCGTTTTTGATAGAATGACTGACATCTCCCAAGGAGATCTATCAAGTGTGAGAAACTGAAGCTATCTCACAAGTCAATGAAATACCCTACTGACTTCTGGGGCTCCCACTTTGCCAACCCCTACCCAATCTTTCATTCATTCAACATTTCCTGAGCACCTGCTAAGTTCAAGGTTAGAAAAACAAGGCATACTCCCTGTCCTCATGTAGCTTTTTGACTTTTTTTAAACCAGAAAAATCAACTTGACGGATTTAAGTTTTTAAATCTGTACTTTTCTTCCCCTGCCCACTCTCAGAAGAGGTACTAATGGACAGTGGAAAAAGTCTCAGGATAATCTCAGCACCTGAAAAATCCATGATCTGCGTCATTAGACCTTAGAAAACTTAAACTGATTTGTGTGGATTACTGAATTCCAGCGAAAGGATGGGCGAGAAGAATCTTGTCTAATTTATTCCATTCCTTCCAAAACGATCCCTTGAACAACTAGCAAAATAGGAAGGGAAACATCACTTGGGTCCAAAGGGAGAAAATGTTTGAACAGCTGTGTGCAGATGTCAAACTGTCGTTGGAAAAACTCCACTCCAACAGCTGTTTGCCGTGTCTGAGGGGAAACATTAGCAGGGAGTAATCTGCACCCATATCTCAGCGTCTGGCCTCCCTGCTTCCCTCCTGCCATGAAGGAAGTGCTGATCATGACAGAAAACAGAGTGAGGCAGTCCAAGAGGCCTTCCTCAACTCTTGGTTGGCTGTGTTAAGAGCCACATTCAACCCACTGAACAGCTCTGAAAAAAAGAATTCACTGCATAGAGTCAGTAGTCTGAGGGGCAGGGAGACAAGGAGGATCTTGGTTATCCAGGGACACAAAGAATTCCATGGAAATCAATCAACCAGCCTACGAAATGTTCCTCTGAGCACAGGGTGCCTGTGAGGAGAAGAAGGTTCAGGAGACTAGAAATGTTGAATAGGGACCCACCGAAGACTCTGAGTGCTAGGAATACAGAACTAGGTCTTCAGGGTCCTTAGCCTGGCCTTCGAGACCTTCCAAGGGCCTTTGTAACTTCCCAAGCATGTGTGTTTTGCAGATAGTAGGCATTTAGCCATAGGAAACAATAAATGCTTTTTGTTTTAAGTATATGCTGACATTGAAGCTTGTAAAAGCTGAAACTTTGCTATTAAACTCACTAGGTCACTTAAGCTCTGGAGATCTCATTTTCCTCAGCTGTAAAATGAGGGCCATAATCTCTTTCTTTGCCTGCCTCAAAGGGTCACTGTGAGGTTCAAAGAAGACAACAGATATGAAAAGGCTAAGAGAGTGTAAAACTTAGATAACCATACTAAGAACCAAGAGTAGTACAGAAAATTGGGAGCCTGCAGGGCTGGGCTTCAGAGAGCAAAGCCAGGCGTTGTCATGCACAAGGAAGGGTTCTCTCATGTGTCTTTCCCACTGTGAGATCTTCCCACCACAGAGAGGAGAGGTTGACTCCATGGCTATTTTTGCCAGATTACATAGGTGATTTGGTGATAAATGGAGACCAGTCTTGGTGGAAAGAGAAAATGGTAGTGACAGATTGTTTGATCAGACAGTGAAAAGAATACCGAGAAAGTCTCCCAGAAGCTGCAAAATATATGGCACAGCCTGGTGGCACTATGTGCATAATTAATCTTGGTTCTCTATCTCTTGGGTAAGAAGGGTGCTTCTTTTTGGTGTTTTGGGGTGGGGGGAGTGGATTTCTGGGTATTTATGTCAGTCTAGGCAGGGGTGGGGAACCTACAGCCTTGAGGTCATATGTGGCCTTCTAGGTCCTCAGGTGCAGCCCTTTGACTGAGTCCAAGTTTTACAGAACAAATCCTTTTATTAAGGGGATTCGTTCTGTGAAGTCTGATTTCTCCTTCTACGACAGAATAGATTTTCTACTTTGGCAGGGATAATTTTAATAGTGTATATTAGTAAATAAACATCAATTTCTTTTAGCCCTTCAAACTTATTAGCATAGAGCTTTGCACAGTGCTCTCTGTTCAGTGTCTTCATTTCTTTTGGTCTCATAATCTCTGCTTTCTCATTTCTAACTTTGAAAATTAGGGATCATCTTTTTTTTAATTGATATGTCCATTCTTTATTGATTTATTGTTGGTTTTATTTGTCCTTTCCATTGCTTAATTATTTTCAATTATATTAACTTTAGTTTTTGTTTGGGTTATTTCCTTTTCTATTTTCCTTGGGGATATTATTTCTTCTTTTCTAAGCTATTTAAGCATAGACTCATCTGGCTAAGTTTCTCTACTTATTGATAGTGGCATTCCACACTACCAGATTTGCCTCTGGATATTACTTTCATTGCATACCTCATATTTTTATATACAACACCTTGTGGTCTTCATTCAACTTTATAATTTTCTCATTCACTTGACATTACTTAATAGATTACTTAACCATAACCCAAACAGCTTTTATCTTTTGATTACATGATCATTATTTGTGACTAATTTTGTTAAAGTATAATCCGTGCATGTGCTGTATAGAATTTCTGCTTTTCTTTCCAATGTCTTCTTTCTTACTCAGAATATATTTTTTGTTTACTTTCTATGTATACTTGAGGGGGGGAAATGTGTATTTCTTTTCTATCTTTTTTCCTCTTTTCTTACGCTCGTTGAACATGCTGAATTTTAATTTAGTCAGTGCCACTCTCTGAAGGTTTTCACAATTACTTGTGAAATAGTTTATCTTGATGTAAGAAGCGTTATTTTAAGCCCTTGCCTATGTGACTCAACTACCTGGCTGCCTTTATGATGTTTTTGAAATGCACACAGTTTTGTGAATTATTCAATATCCAAAAGTTTACCATTTATCCATCTCTTTTCTTCTAACAGTATACTAAATTTGACCGGATAGAGAATTCTAGATTTCCAACCCATGCATAAGGGATAGTGGATAGAGCAGCAGATTTGGAGCCAAGAAGATCTGGTTTCAAATCCCACTTCAGACATTTAGCCGTGTGAGCATGAGCAAGTTTTTGTTTTGTTTTGCTTTGTTTCCTTTCTAACCTTCAGTTTCCTCCTCTATTAAATGGATATAATATTAATAATACCTGCTACATCAGATGTTATGAGACTCAAATTACATAGTACTCTATGGAAAATACTTTGCAAACTTTAGTGCTACATTTGCTGTTCAGTCATTCAGTTGTGTCCAATTCTTCATTATCATATCACACCAATACTGTTCATGGCGTTTTCTTGGCAAATATACTGGAGTGGTTTGCCATTTTCTTCTCCAGTGGATTAAGGCAAACAGATGCTAAGTGACTTGCCCAGGGTCACACAGCTAGTAAGCATCTGAGGCCAAATTTGAGCTCAGTTCTTTCTGATTCCAGAGCAGCTAGGTAGCTTAGTGATTAGAGCACTGAAGATCTGAGTTCAAATGTGGCTTCAGACACTTACTAGCTGTGTGACCCTGGGCAAGTTCCTTAACCTTGGTTTGCCTCAGTTCCTCATCTATAAAAGGAGCTGGAGAAGGAAATGGCAAACCAATCCAGTATCTTTTCCAAGAAAAACCCCCAGGGTCATAAGGAGACAGCCAGGATTGACACAACTGAACAGCAGCAAATGTCATGATTCCAGGCCCAGTGGTCCCTCCACTGAGCCCTGTAGCTGCCTCCTACAGTGCTACACACCTGTCAATTACTGTATAATATATATTACATTCCAATTTGTCTGATCATTTTTTCTTGGGAAATCTACTGTCATTGCAATTCTTAGTATGTCCTTTTTGTCTTATTGCAGCTCATGTGGGATTCTTTCCTTGTTATTTTAATATTTATACTACATCTAGGAAAGTTGACTCACAAATTTTTTCCAAGTAGGGGACCAGTAGATTCTTTACATTTGCCTATTGTCACTTTCAATTCTGGAAAGCTTTTCTGAATAATTTCCTGGAATCTAATTTTAAGATTTTTTTCTGTTGTTTTTTTTGTTTGTTTGTTTTTTGGTAAGGCAGTCAAGGTTAAGTAACTTCCCCAGGGTCACACAGCTAGTAAGTGTCAAGTGGCTGAGGCCACATTTGAACTCAGAGCCTCCTGACTCCAAGGCCCCTCTGTTTTTGTTTTTTCACATTTTCTGGGATGTCAGCAACCTCTGACTTTGGTATGCCTTACCTAGGCATACCAGATCTGTCCCTTGTATTTGAATACTTATCCATTTTCTCAATATGTGAGTTCTCTTCTTAGCTTGTTTTTCTACTTTGCATATGTTGTCTGTGAGCCTGTTTTCCACCCTTGCGAATCTAAGGTTGACTGCCTTCTGTAAGGATATTTTCAGGTTTTTCTATTACATTCTCTAGATTAGTCACATTTTTAATCATCATATCCTCCTGATTTTTAAAAGCATCTTTTCATTCCAGCTTCAGTTCCTCTCATTTAAAAATTTCTGGCAATTTTCTTAACATGGAAATTCCTCATTAAATCGTTTAAATGTGGCATTTGTCCTTTGAAGGATGTTAGGATGTCTTGTATTGTTTCTTGTGCCTCTGAGGTTTTAATTTGTTTCAGTTGCTCTGTGTTGTTTTGTGGTATTGTGTTTACTTATTGTGCTGGTCCTTAATTTTCTTTTGTGATAAATTTTTATTATCATGTGTGGTTTTTAATCTATTTCTCTCCCCGCCCTGGTGTTTCTTTTTTGTTTCTTTTTTTCTTTTTAAGGGAATGTGAGGAGCTTAGTTTCCTTTAACTTCTCACTCCACCATCTTGACTGGAAGCCTGCCCAAGGACATCTAAGCCAGCTGTGCTCAGCAGCTCTGTCTCAGTAAACACGCCTGATGTGAGGGGAAACGATCTCTGCACTTCAGCACCAGGGATATTTATTTGACACAGATTCGTGGTCCCTTCCTGGTTTTGTTTGCTCCTTCTTCCTGCCAGAAGCTTTGTCAACTGGGAGGTGGGGGCAGGCTGCTGAAGCTGGCTGTTTGTTTCTTCACGTCCTCCAGAGACATAGCTGTACATCTGAATTCCTTTTGCTCTGCCTTTCTCTCCTACCCCCTTGACCGGTGGCTCAGGGCCAGAGGGCAATATGGGGTGAGCCTGGCTCGTTCCTCATTAAAAAAAAAAAAAAGATTGTGTGGGTTTCTAGGAATAATAGGCTTACTATTTCTCTCTCCACTCTCTTCAGGTTCTTTTTTCCCTTCTTTTTCTTCCTCCTTATCTATTTCTCTTCCATATTTCTTTTTGTTTCTTCTTTTTTTCTTCTCTTCTCCCAATTTATCCTCTCTCTGCTTCCTCCTTTCTCTTCTCACCATTTTCCTCCTTTCTTCCTAAGGTTGCCTTCCCTCTTCTCTTTGTTACCTCTTTCCCTTCTTTTTTCCATCTCTTCCCCTTTCTCTCTCACTTCTTTTTCTCCTCTATCTCTTATTTCCCTTTCTTCTCTCAGTTTTTAGGAAATGCAGAAAGGGAAGTATCATCAGGAAAAAAATCTTCAAAATCAGAACCAAACCCTCTTAGTTTACTAAACAAGAACTTTGATCCTAACTCCCCCAAGCCCACCAAAGCCTGAGGATCTTAAGAAACAGGGATAGCTTAGACTTGTCTGTAAATCCCACCCTGCACAACCCGGACCAAGAAGAACAAGAGGAAACCCTAGGTGAAGGAGGCAACAGGAATACAACTGAGGAGTTTTGTCTCTGGGAAAGGAGAAGAAACAAACAATGAAACCCAGGAGGTTTGGCTGAAGATGGAAAGACTAGCTTCGGGGCAGCAGCAGCCACTTCCTTAGAAACCCTGGTAACCCTGCCTGATTTTCCTCAGCAGACAGTCCTCTCATTAGAGGGCATCATTAGCATGTTCTGATGAAACAGGCACCTTTTTATTCATGAGTTCTTCTTTGTTCTGAGTCCTTTGAAGCTGCTGGTGATGGGGTAGGGAGCTGCTGAGATTATATTGCATTGATGCTGTTTGCTTTAACATCTATGTGGCATCCTACATTTGACTACATTTAACTTTAGGCAAGTCACTTATGCTTTCCATGTCCTAGGCTGCCCATCTATAAAATTAGAAGTTTACTCTGGGTAGTCTCTAAGATCCCTTCCAGCCCTCACACTATGAATGGGGCAAACTCTTACCTGGGTAGCAATATAATTTGGAGCTGGAGGCACTGGCCGGCTTGGGGGAGGTCTTCTCACAGATTCTTTTCTTTCCACTTGGGTCATGACCCCTGGGGAGTTCCTGATGTCCCTACTGAGGTGTACCGAGAGAGGGGGAGGTGGGGACCCCCCATGCATATAGTCTGGAGGTGGTCTGGGGGGAGGTTGTGATGGCTTGCGAGGAACCTCAGGCGTGTTAGTAACCTATATATGGGGTGAAACAAAACACCAATGAGATATCTGTACCCCATGTCTGAATGACCTAGATCTTAGTTGCCCTCCTATATATCCCATTGGGATAGAAGACCAGAGGTAGAGTGATAAGCAAGATGAATTCTGAAAGATCCTTCTAACTCTAGAATTTCCTGATCACCCAGAGACACAGATAAGTTATTGTCTTTCCAAATATGTCTTTTCCAAGAATGCCATAATTAGTCATAACTTCTGGCCAATTCAGTAAAATTTATTCACAGACCTGTTTGTAACCCTTCCTCCTCCCTCCTCAAGAATTCTGGAGAAAACCAAAGGGAAAATTCTGCATATATGCAGTACAGATGGTCCCAGGAGGGTGCAGAAATGGGGAGAAGATGCAGGTTTCCCAAGCATACAAAGGATTTACCTTTCTCTTTCCCTGGGGTGTCTGTAACTTGAAAGTTGGGTTGGCATGGCCAGTCCCACCATTCTGGGTCACCTTGAAGGGGCAACTGAAAACAGAAAAATGGAAGCATGTAACCACAGGTGCTATCAAAGACAAATTTGTCCCTTCAGGTTCCTAGTTGCAATCAATGTGTCCAGATTTCCCCCTCTCCTACATTTCTTTCTACTCTGATCAAAAAGGAGTTCCTGTTCCCTTCTGTATGATTCCTAGCACCCACCCCACCATGTTCCAGCCCCATCTTTGTAGTCTGGCCTAAGAATGATACACAGGCCTGGCCCCCTGAAGATGGAAAGCATCACAAATTCTTTTTGGGCTTCTACCTTTCCAGCAATTCTTTTCTTCCTTCAAGGCTGGATCTAGCAGAAAGCTTAGGCTTGGGCCCATGGGCACAAAATTTAATTTGTCAGCCAAAGCCTCTGTATCAGAAGATTTCTGCATTAACCGTCGTTGGTTTTGGTTAAAGGAGAAAAGAGGAATGAGAGGGAAAAGTGATGGCAGTTTAAAAAAAATGAAACAGGCTAACACATGCCAAAATAGAAAGTCTCATGCCCTGACTCCAGAGACAGAAATGAGATGGGGTGATGTGGCTTTTCCCATCTCTATTCCTTTGTACTAGCTGCCCCCATCCCCAGCCTGGAGTGCACTCACCTCAGCCTCAGAGAATCTCTCATTTACTTTTCAAGGCACATTTCAAGTACCACCTTCTAATCTACACAAAGCCTTTCCCTGGACATCTCAACTGTACTGCCTTCTTTGCCTAAACATCTTATATTGAATAGCCTTGTGTTTATTTTGTATTTATTCTACATATAATGATATATTTACATGTTCTCCCATAGATTATATGTTTAGTATTTAACATAACACTGTCCATTTTATTCTCCTGGAGAATAAGGGTTGTTTCATTTTGTTGCTTTGCATGACAAGGGCCTGGCACACTACTGTGTGCTTCATAAATGTTTATTGATTGGATGATTAATTTATTTCCAGGGCATTGAAATTCAGAAGGTGCTGATGGCCATTCTACTTCCTCATCAGGTGAAAATAACTGAACTTAGCACCTAGTTAGCAAAAATTATTAGTAAAAATAAGAAGATACCAGACAGTTATTTCATCCCCAGCCCTAAGTAATCTAGGGAGCTGATAGCTGTGTCCCAAATGAACTCTTCCCCAGGCCTAGATCCATTTTTTTTTTTGCTTTTTGGTGAGGCAATTGGGGTTAAGTGACTTGCCCAGGGTCACACAGCTACCAAGTGTTATGTATCTGAGACAGGATTTGAACTCAGGTCATCCTGACTCCAAGGCCAGAGCTCTATCCACTGTATCACCTAGCTGCCCCCAGCCTAGACCTATTTTTGTTCCTCACCTACTGGTCCCCTTCTCTACCAGCAACTTTATGGTAACCTAGGCTCTATGCCCACAGGGGCCAGTGTCCTTGTGTTTCTGCCTCCCTTCTCAGGGTGCCTTGTGTCACAAGGCCCAAGATCTTTCCCCAATGTCCCCCTTTCTCTTCCCCCCAACCCTGACCTTGCCTAAGACTAAGGCTCTGAACCCTTGGCTCCACTAAGACTTAAAACTGTAACTATCAAGCAATCAATATACATGTATTAACCCCCTCCTAGGTGCCAGGCACTGTGCTAAGTGCTGGGGATACAAAAAAAGAGGCAAGAGACAGTCCTTGTCCTCAGGGAGCTTATAATCTAATGAGGGAGACAACAAGCAAATATGTGTGTGTGTGTGTGTGTGTGTGTGTGTGTGTGTATACACACACAAACTAGATGGAGGATAAATAAGAAATAATTAACAGAGGGAAGGCACTAGAATTTAGAAAGGCTGAAGAAGGTTTCCTATGGAAGAAGGGACTCGAAGGAATTTACATTAGTCGGTAAGCTGAGTTGAGAAAGGGGAGCATTGCAGGCACGGGAGACAGCTGGAGAAAATGCCTGGAGCTCAGGGATGCATTGTCTTGTTCATGGAACAGCCAGGAGGCCGGGCCACAGGATCAAAGAGCACACGTCGGGGAGTAAGGTGTAAGAAGACTTGGAAAGGACAGAGGAGGCTGGGTTATGAAGGGTTCTAAATGCCAAACTGAGCATTTTGTATTTGATCCTGGAGGCAACTGGGGACCAGTGGAATTCGTTATGTAGGGGGCAGCGTGGTTAAACCCATGCTTTAGGGAAATTACTTTGGTGGTCGAATGGAAGACAGATTGGCGTGGGGAGAGACGTAAGCAGGTAGACCATGACAGGGGTCCAGGTGTGAGGGGACGAGGGCCTGCCACGGAGTGATGGCTGTGTCAGAAGAGAGACGACATATTAGAGAGATGAAATCAACAGCTCTTGGCAACACATTGTTTATGGGCAGGTGAGAACGGAGAAGAATCTAGGATGACACCTGGTTTGCAAGTCTGAGGAACTGGGAGGACGGTGATGCTCTCTCTAGTAATAGGAAAGGTGTGTGTAGCATGGGCGGGGGAGGAATTTAGGGGAAAAGATAACGAGTTCAGTTTTGGACATGTTGCGTTTCAGACGGACATACAGGTCAGACAGACAGAGATTCAAAGTTGGAGGTCAGCAGAGAGGTTAGGACAGGAAGGACAGATTTGAGAATCATTAGCATAGAGATGGTAATTAAATCCACCCGAGCTGATGAGATCACCAATCGAAGTAGTATACACATAGAGAAGACAATAGGGCCCTGGGACAGAACTACTGTATCTCTTTGATAAGAGGCTTCCTCATTTTAGGTTTGAGACCCCCAGGGGAAGGGTGACAGCCACTTATGGGAAATACAGTATTTCCACAATTGTCTACAATAATTCATGATTTCCCAGGGTATAAAAGATGATATAAGTGAACTGGCTTAGCATGGCAATGCAAAATGCCAAGACATCCTTGTGGACTGGTGATCAGAGGGAACCTTTCGTGTTGTTCCATGCTGCCAGCTCCAGGTACTAGAACTGTTCACTACAGTCTCCCTGGCCTAGGATCCAGCCAGATCTAGCCCTTTATCCATAACTAGTTCACCTCTAACCCCCAAAATCCAAAAGAGGCTAAAAGTGACCCCATAAAGTCCAGCTATAATGTTAGACTTCTAAGGGACTTATGATTAGAAGGTGAGGGGCTCAAGGCAGGGAAACCAGCTGGGGGGGGGTGCAGGGAGGTGTGTGATGGTCAAGATCTAACTTAGAATAGTGGCCGTGTGAGCCTTGAGATCAAGACATTCATCTCACCTGAATGGCTGCCTCCACTTGGAAGGGAGAGCTGAGGGTTTGAGAGGGCCCAGTCTGTGCCTTTTGCAGTAATAGAGCACCAGTAGGATGATACCCAACAATAAGATGGCGGTCAACACTCCAGCTACCACGGGGCCAACACCTACCAGAAAGAGAATAAAGAAACCAAGCTGGAAAAAATCCTCTGGGTCATTTAAACTGAAGAAGCTTCTGAGAAAAATAAGGGATCATAATTATAATTACTGCTACAAGCTGTTCCCAAGGTCTTTCACTCCTTCCTCCCCACTTGTTTCATTCACTGTCCTAGAATGCAGGGAATGACAAAGATGAGGGTATCTCACTCACTCTGGGGGGGCATGGGCCCACTGTCGATGCTGCCTCCATGGCCTACGGTGTTGCAGAAAGGTGGAGCCCATCCTTGGAAGCAATGACAATTCTGTTTATTGTTACAGACCTGTGGTGGGAAGACAGGAGGCATGAAAGTCAGCCATGCGGCAGACCCACCACCACCACCTCCCTCCACTCCCTGTGCAAACAGATGGAGGACGAGACCTGGGGACTTCTGCCAAGACCTACCCCATTGCCATGGCATTTCTTCCCACAACCTTCAGTTTCAAAAAAAGAGGTGTTCCTGCATTGCCCCTCGAAGCAAATCTGTGGGAAGAAGGAACTGAGTCATCCATCAACTGGGAATCAGGAACCTTGGCTTCTAAGACTCGTCTTCATCAAGACTTAAGCCACTGCACCTCTCTGAGATTGCATCTCTTCATTTTAAGATTCCCCCAGGAGAAGGCAGAGAGCCATGCTCAGAAGGCCCTGTGTCCTCAAGGCTATCAGCAGTCATTAGTCATCCCTCTGGCTATAAAAGATGATGCTAGTGAACCTGGCTTGGCAAGCATGGTGCTGCAAGATTCGACCCCAGGGTGTCTCTGTATTGTGGTTCTGAATCAGGGAAATACAAGTGACAGAGAATGGAATGTGAGTTAGATATTAAGTACATGAGGTGAGAGGATTTATGACACTAAGGAGTGAGAATGAGGAAAAAGACATCTATATGTGGACCCTTACAGCTTAGTCCACTTTCAGCGTGAATGAAAGAGTATTAAGCAGTGAGTGTATTGGGGTAGGATGGAAGTCAAGGATAAAGGAAAGAGGCAGGTATCTCCTGGTTGTGTGTCCCTGAGTCCTACCAGACTGAGAGTGGTGGTAATAATCCTTATATTTACTGTCTATATGAATAGTACAGTACTGAGTCCCCAGCAGTCTCCACACAAGAAAAGAAAGGCTAAGGGAGAAGCCAACAGAGAAGAACTCAGGGGTAACCAAAACTACTGCTAAGTGGTGATGTGCCGGCAAGCACATATGAGTGTGGCTAGGACTGTTCATCTGCAAAATGAAGCTAAGTGATGGCTGCTTTGCCAGTGTACACGAAAGGTCTTTCAGAAAGTAGAAAGTGCGCTACAAGCGTACCGCCGTGGAGATAGCTGTGGTCGGCTCTAAATGAATGGAAACAATAGAACAGTTGATAGTAAACAGAATATCCAAATAACCCTAACAATATCATTTAGTGCCATAGAATTGGAGTATCCGTCATCTAATGACATTTCATACCAGAAATAAGAAGCCATTTTCCCCTACGCCCCCCCATCCCCACCCCTTGCAATAACCTCATGAGTGATTGGCTGTCCTCTGTTAATAGTAGCCTTGGCCTTCGTGGTAATGGGTAACACGGACTTCATTATGCTCAAAGTCATCCTGTTCCACTGAGGGACAGCTCTAAGTGCCAGGAAGCTCTTTCTTATCCTAAGGTGAAATCTATCTTGCTGTATCACCTTCCACCCACTCGTCCTTAGCTCTTCCCTCTGAGGTCAAGTGGATTAAATCTAATCCCTCTATTTCCAAGTGTCCAATGGGAAGCCTTGTGTTTGGGGATTGGATGAATTTACACAGTTACCTTATCCCTCGTGTCCACCTTGTCCCTAATACTCTTCCTCTATGACAGGGCGAGGGCTCGTCCCTGACACACCCAGCTGCAATACCCAGACTTGCTAATGCCATTCTCCACTACTGCCAGGTCAGGGCACTTACATGGTTATAGCCACACTTGGTTCCCGTCATCACCAGCCCTGGATCCAGCATGTCTCCCTCTTCCTCTGGACCTCGGTACACGTGGGTGCCCCGGCAGCGGATTTTCTTCCCATTCACAGTGATGGTGGTATCAATAGGCACTGCATTGGACTCCAGGGGTCTGGCCTCGGAACTCTGACACTGGATCTTCCCACACTTAGCATCTCTAAAGCCGGTGAAGAAAAGGGAAGGTGGAAGAGTACAGAGGCGTATAGTAGCCACAAAGCAGACTTCCTCCCTTTCCGCGATCAGTGAGATCGGCCGTATCGGAAAGGTCCCTTCTTGGTGAGCAAAGAGTCCTTCTCTTGAGAGGGACTATACAGAGCAAAGCCAAAGTAATATCACTTTGGTTCCTGGACCTAGCATTTCTTCCTCTTCCTCCAGACCCTGATGTACATGGGTGCCCTGACAATGGATCTGCCTCCCATTCATGGTGATGGTGGCATCAACGGGGCAGGAGAATTGGCCAAGACCAACTGCCCCTTTAGGGGAGGAAGGAAAGCTAGGGTGACTGACAGCACTGCTTTCTAAGTTGTTTGTTTGTTTTTCAAATTAGGAGAAGAGATGAGCAGTGATTCATCTCCCTTCAGTCACCAGGCCCTGGTTTAGAAAGGCCTGCAACTACGAACAAGCACAACAGGAGAACAGGCAGTTGGCCAGGGCCCGTCTTTGGCGGCGGCCCATGTGGCGCTTACAGAGGGCCCTGGCTTCCCTGGGGTCAGGGCCAGACTGGGTGTGGTGACTAGAAAGACCTTTCTGCCAGTCGTCTCCCCAGTCATCACCTCATGGCACACTTCTTGTGTTCTCCATTCATGTCCTTCCCACAATTCCCAAAAGGGTCTCCTGCTACGTTCACCTTCTCAAAGCAGAGGTCAGGGGCAGGGCGAGCTCCTGGGAAGAGAAGAGAATACATTTATCAAGTAACCTCCTTCCGGGGAGCTCAGAAGAAGTCTTCTGCAAAGCTATAGCATCAGTAAGTTTGTATTGGGAGATTCCCAGAACCCCCCTGACATTCTGTTCCCTCCCCTCTGTACCACTCTTATAATAAAAATAATAGTTAGCACTGATATAGCACTTTAAGGTTTTATGAAGTGTTTAACAAATAATATCCCATTTGATCCTCACAACAACTCTAGGAGGTAGATACTATTTTTATCCCCATTTTACAGATGAAGAAACTGAGGCAGGTCAGAGGTTAAGTGACTTGCTCAAGGTCACACAGCAAATAGTGTCTGAGGTCAGATTTTAATTCAGGTCTTCCTGATTCCAGGTCCCCTTCATCACCTAGCTGCCTCCAGGACCCATGTTTTATTTTGTTGATTTTGTTTTTTCACTTTTGGCAAATAAGTTTATATAAAACTTCCAAATCCTATCTACTAGCTACCCTACAGGTTTGCTGTGAGGAAAGGAATTTCCTAAATCTTAAGGCACCACATGTATGAGTTGTGAGGCTGTCTTAGCACTAAAATGCTACATTACCCCTGGCATTTAGAGGAAAAAGTAAAGTTGAGATAAGAGCTTTTGGGAAGGGAGGTATATCTTCCAGGGAAAGCCTTACCAGGACCCCAGAGTTGTTGGCACTGCTCCTGGTAGGTAAGGCACATGCCATTGTAACAGTAAGCCTGCCCGCCTTCACATGGGGTGCCATCCATCTGGTAGAAGTTGGTAGGACAATGAGGTGACTTGCCAGTACAGAACTCCGGGAGGTCGCACTGCCGGGACTGCTCACGGCACAGAGTGCCTGGAGGTAGCAGCTGAGTCATAAGGAAAGAAGGGATAAATCAGTAAGTGAATTATCTTTCACCTCACAAGGGCCCCATCATCAGTATTCACTTTACATTTCTCTAGACTTTTTCTGATTTGCCATGTTTAACCCCAATATTCTTCTGGTGATGTGACAAGGCTGTTGATTTTGGAAACCCATGACCTCAGAAGTATCAAGATTGTGGACGATCCAAGGGGCAACAGAGGGCCAAATATCATCCAAGACAGGACCAAAAAAGGAGGTGGGTCAGTTAAGTACCAAATACAAGCAGTCATAGACACAACAACTGTTGCATAAATATCCATTAAATAGTACAAGACTTAGGAGGAGAACCTCAGCTTACTGGGTGAGTATTGTACAGAGAACTTATAAAAGGATAAAGACACTGAAGACTCGGGGGGACATCATGGGAATGAGTGTGCACACCACGGAGGCAGCAAAATATTCACTCCCACAACACTGCACATATACTCTCTCATTTACTTGACTCCTTCCTAACTTCATCCCTTTATTCCAATGAAGTCTGTGGCCAAGAGTACAAGCAGGCTCCTATCTCTCCCTCTCCCTATTTCTTCACCATCAGTTGGAGCCTCACACCTTCTGTTCAGTCCCACTTCTATACCCCTGAGGAGGCCCCAGGCCCATCCTAGAGACATCCGTGATATCTTGGGAGCTACTTTGGAAAGAACAAGGAAAAACTATGCCCTTCTCTGCACCCTTCCAGCCAACTGCAGCAGCATATGCTTTCTTCTCAGAAGAGAAGTGGACAAAGTCCATTATGCTGTCAAACCTGAGCTCTGAATGTGACCGGTGATAATGACGTGAGTGGCTGTGAACTGACTTTATGAATGAAACCTCAGCTACACTTTGGAAAAAGAGCAGAGCTGCATTAGGGAAGATAAGGATCTTTACCAACAGGTTATTAGCAATCAATGTTCACTAAGTCTCAGGCCCCAGCATGCATTCTGTCCCTTGTTATATATCTGTCTTCCTTGGGGGACAATTGCCCAGGGTTCTCTGTTCACCATTAAGGCAGATAAAACAGTTCCTCCTGGGATAATAAACCAGGTCTTCCACTAGTCTCCCAAAGAAAGCTAAGCCCATACATTTCGACAGCTTTAAAGAATGGAAAGCATAGTTTCTTGAGATGGTTAGAGCTCAGACTGACCTCGAGACAGGGTGATAAGTGCTCATTGGTGGTCTCTTCCAGTTGACAGCTTCTCTGACTGCAGTGCATCTCCCTCCCCCCATGGAAGACGCTCATGGAGCCCCTGGCCCTCTCTGTGGTAGCCCTGTCTCCTCACCTTGCACTGGTGGCAGCACGAGCCATGTGCACACTCCGCCCCTGGCTTCAGAGTACAATTGGAAGCATTGCAGCAGGGATTGTGGCATTCCTGGGGAGAGAGAAGGAGTCGGGAGGTGATTACAAGGCTGATAAGAAGAGGTGGTGAGGCTGAGAAGGACACAGAAATCCATTTGCCTCCCCTCCATATCCCAACCCTTCCATCCAATGAGCCACAGACCCCAGAAGGGGTGGCCCCAGAAGTCCACACCTTTCAGAGCCCCTTTAAATTCACTCATTGGCCCACAACAACTGCCCAGGTTAAGGCCTTTAAAACAAGGGGCAGGTGGTTGCAGCACCTAGACATTGTTCAGTTGGTCTCCTGGGTTCTGTCCCAGAAACCTCCCTTCTTACTAAAACTGACCTCAGCCAAACTAGTCCCTTCCACCCCTAAAATACTTTGAGTCTGCAGGTTGCCTGTGCCAGATAATCCTTCTCTTCTTCCCCCTGGCCTCGGTGGGGCTAACTTGCTAATCAGATGTGAACTTCTCGTGTATGAAACATACACAGCAAGTTGATAAAACTCTCAGTTGACATTTGGAGCTTCCTCATTACAATCATGCTGCAGGCTCGGGGATTCAGTGGGGGAAAGGCAGGGTGGTAGTGCTGAGCAGGACTTATCTAGAGAATCTTTGGGCTTGGACATGAAAAGAGGACCAAGTCTCCCCCTGTTGGCCCTTATTCCCCATCTTTAGGGAATTATTTCTTTATCTACTATTCCCTATCCTTAGGATCACAGTATTTATAGCTGGAAAGATACTAGAGATCAACTAATCCAACCTCTTCACAGGAAGGGAATTTATAGGTTCCCCCAATCCAATGTGCTCCTCCCATTTTACAGATGAGGACACTGAGGTCAAGAAGGAGTGAAATGACTTGTCCAAGGTCACACAAGTATGAAGTGACAGAGGGCATATTCAGCACTCTAGTGTTCTGTCTATTGTACTAGACTGTCCCTCATTTTACAGGTGAGAAATTGAGGCCAAGGGGCTGGAGGCAGGGAAGTGACCCTTCCAAAGAGATAGTAATGCACAGAGCTTGGCTCTGTAATTCACAAAGTATGGGTCTCTGACTTCAAATCCTCTGGTCTTTTTCACAATATCAGTCTGTCTCTACATGACCTTACGGATCAATTAATAATCAAATGTAGAGTCCCTTTTCCCCCTTGAGTTTTAAACAGTCTCAAAAGTCCCTATTTCTCCCCTCCTTATTCCTTCCCCCTTTCTTCGCAGCATCACGTTCTTACCTCCTCCTCACCACAATCACACTCTTCCCCATCTTCCAGGTACCCATTTCCACACCTCTGGCCACCATACAATGTCCTGGTATCTGGCATGTTGGAAAGGCACATGCCACCTCCTGACTGCAGGTACCTGTCCAGCTCCCTCCTGTTGCACCAGTTGAACACCTTGGGAAAGGGGTGCCTGGTAAAGAAAGGAACACAAGGCTGGCATGAACCCACCAGGAAACCACCAGCTGAGGCAGCAACATGGCGGGGAAGACATGACATGAGTCTGTTTGGATGAGTTCATCTGCATGATGGTTACCAGAATTCTGCACCCATATTTCAACTTCCTTTATCCTCTTCAGGCTGCTCTAGGTTTGATTTTTCCATCTTTTATGATGGTTGAGAGGTAATCTATAGACAGCCCCTGTGTTATGTTGCTTTCTTTGCCACATCGTGAGAACGTGAGGAAGGTCTTTAGCACATTGAGTGGAACCTCCATGTTGCATTTAGGGGAGAGTAAGGCCAAGACTAGCACAGGATGGGCACGAATTGATCAACTATAATCTACACTGTTGAAGGAAACCTGCAAATCGCTGAGCTCTCAGATCTACACTAAAATATCTGACTATGACAACATGGCATTCCCAGCTTCATTTTTGCTTCATATAGCACAAGAGGAAGCATTTGAAAACCAGAGACAGCAATGTCAATATTGTGCATGGATGACACAGATTTTGTGTGTCTCAGTAGAGCTGTAAGCATTTTAAGGAGGTTGCTCTCCCCTTGGAACTGATGAACAAGCCAAAAAGAAAGTTTCCTGAAATTTATTCATCAATTCATTCATTCATTCATTCAATAAATATTTAATAAGTACCTACCATGAGAAAATTTCTATTCTGTGCTGAGGGAAATACAGAGTTTAAAGGAAAAGCAATATAGCACAGCAGATAGCTGCTGGATCTGGAGTCAGGAAGGCATGGATTTGAATCGTGCCTCAGACATTCATTGACTTTGTGACCCTGAGCTATTTATTTAACCTCTCTGAGCCTCAGTTTCTTCATCAGTAAAATGGGAGTAATAATAGCACCTATCAAATAGGGTCTTTGTGAAGATCAAATGAGATACTGCATATGAAATACCTTGTAAATCTTAAAGTCCTGTATAAATTTGAGCTGTTACTACTATTTTTACATAAGCTTTCGTCCCTGCTATCACGGAAGTAACAGTCTAATAAGGGGATAAAGACATAAACACAGAGAGCCATAATACTCAGCAATACAAATAGGTATGTTGGAGAGAGATATTAAAATAACAGTTTTATGTGAGGTGAGAGGGGAAAAGTCATTGTAGACAAGAGGGATCAGAAAAGGCTTCTTGGAAAAGGGGAAGGGAACAAGTATTTTTTTTTATTTCAAATTAATTATTTTTTAACTTCATTTTTTAAAATTGAGTTCCAAATTCTCTCTCTCTCCTTTCCACTCCTCCCCAATTCAGGCAAGCAATGTGCTATCAATTACACATGTGAAGTCATGCAAAACATATTTTCATATTAGCCATGTTGCAAAAAAAAAAAGGAAAATAAAGTGAAAAACATATTCTTCAATCTGCATTCAGACTCCATCAGTTATTTCTCTGGAGATAGATATTATTTTTCATCATAAATCCTTTGAAATTGTCTTGAATCATTGTATTGATTAGAATAGCTAAGTCATTCACAATCACCACATAATATTGCTATTACTGTGTACAATGCTCCCCTGGTTCTGCTCATTTCACTTTGTATTTATTCATGTAAGCCTACCCAGGTGTTTTCTGAAACTAACCTGTTAGTCATTTGTTATAATACAACAATATTCCATTATAATCAAATGCCACTACTTGTTCAGCCATTCCCCAGTAATGATAATTCCTTTGATTTCCAATTCTTTGCCACCACAAAAAGAGCTGCTATAAATACCCTTGTACAAATAGGTCTTTTCCTTTTTTCTTTCATCTCTTTGGGATACAGACCTGGTAGTGGTATTGCTGGGTCAAATGGTATACATAGTTTTACATCCCTTTAGACATAGTTCCAAATTGCTCTCCAGAATGGTTGGATCAGTTCACAACTCCACCAACAATCCACCAGTGTCTCAATTTTTCCACATCCCTTCTCACATTTGTCATTTTCTTTTTCTGTCATATTAGCCAGCCTGATAGATGTGAAGTGGTACATCAGAGTGAAGAAGTATTAATCAAGTGCTTACTATATATACCAGGCACTGTGCTAAGCACTTTATAAATATCATCACATTTGATCCTCACAACAACCCTGGGAGGTATATACTATTATGATCCTCATTTCACAGTGGAGGAAACTGAGGCAGAAGTTAAGTGACTTGCCTAGGATCACACATAGCTAGTAAGTATGTGAGGCTGGATTTTAACTCAGATCTTCCTGTCTCCAAGGCCAGGGCTTTATCCACTGTGCCACCTAGTTAGAAAAGAGAGCATTCAAGTTGGACTTTAATTTAAAAGAAGGGCAGGAATTCACCCAGCAGAGATGGAAAAGGAAAACATTCTAGGGATGTGGAATAGCATAAGCAAAGGCAAAAGCAGTGTGTGTTTTGGGGAAACAACATGGTTGAGTTTGCTAGGAATTCAGAGTATATAGACGGAAGGGACATGAGTGAGAGGGGATGGAAGCGTCAGGTAGGGCCAGACTATGAGTGGTCCTGAATGCGAGACCTAAAAGTCTGAACTTTATTAAGAAGACAGGCAACTGGAAACCACTGAAGATTTTTTTTCAACTATTTAAGAATGCTTTAAGCAGATCAGAGGGCCATACCAATGGGGCCAAGGTCTTGGGCTCACTGGCCACGCCAGACAGCTTAGTTCTGTTACATGGTTACAGACCTTACCCCTAACTCTAGCCATTCAATTATCTCATAAATAGGTATTACTGATCACAGCAAGAACTGGTCAAGAAGGTGGGGATGATTCAGTGAAAACATGTGCCTGTGCAGTTCCTTCAGGGGATGGGAGAGAAGGAGAGGTATCACAACATCAGTGTGAGCTGTTAATGGGGGGTTACCATGAAGGGAGCAGAGCCAGGCAAACAATTCATACAATAACTACAATTCTGTCGAGGAAAACAACTGTGAGAAATCTCCAAATTCTACTCAAAGCAACGATCAATCACGATTTCAGAAGACAGATGAGGAACCATGCCTCTCACCTCTTGGCCAAGCCATGATGGACAGAGGTACAGAATGAGACAATGATTTTCCGACTCAGCCAACATGCAGCTTGGCTTTGCTTGGCAGCTTGTATTTATTACAGTGAACAGCTTCTGTTTGGGGGAGAAGGAGCTCTATGGGATGGGTGCTTCTGGCTAGTGATAGTGGTGCAGAAAGGAAATACAAAATATACTAACAGACATTAAAAATATTTGTATTGCATGGCTGGAAAGAGGCTCTGCTGAAAGTGAATTTCAGAGCTGGGCAAATTAAACATGGCAGACACTTGCTCCTCCGGGGAGAAGCAGCCTCCCTCAGCACTTCCCTGGGTGGCTGTAAATACTTCTCCTTTCTTCTTTCTCTGAGGGACAAAGCAATGCTCCTGACAGAACCTGATCCCCTAATGCTACTTCATGTGCTGGTTGTTGTTGGCAAACACCCCAAATCACCATTATAATAATACTTGATAATTGTGATAATGTCATGATAATTTGTGTGTGTGTGTGTGTGTGTGTTTGTAGTTTTCATAGTGCTGACACATTTATTTTCTCATTGGCACCTTATATCAGTAAGGACAGGCACTATGATTGTCCTTTGTAAAGATGACCCTGAGGTCAAGGGAGGCAGGGTCAGAGCCAAGATGGGCACCAAGGTCACCGGCCTTCGAGGTCACAGCATAGGGTAGTAAAAAGGACACCAGACTTGGAATCAGACTACAGGGATTCATGTAGTGACTCCATTATTTAATGAGCTGTGGGACCTAAGATAGTACACATCTCTCTCAGTCTCATTCTTCTCATACGTTAAATGGGGGGAACGGGGGAGGGGGAGGGAATGAGATTAGAAGCAGTGAAATGCTTTAATTACATTATATTATTATGCACATTCCAACTTCCTGCCAAAAGTCACAGAACTCCACAATTACTTCTGAGATCCCTCTGCCCAATTTTCTAACAAAGAACTTAATGGAGCCTTTAAGATACACTGAGAAGCACTGGCCACTGCCCAACCCCCTTCCTCCCAACCCCCATCCTTACATCCTTCTTAGTTAAGAGGCCTGGGGCTAAGTCTAAGATCTGCCACTAACTAGCTGTATTACATTAGGCAAATTGCTCTCAGTTTTCTCATTTATAAAATTAGGGATGATTTCCAAACTCTAACATTCTATGTTCTAAGGTTCCTTCTAGCTCTAATATTCTCGGTTTTAAGGTCCTCTTTCGTTCTGTCTGTATTCTATGTTCTCATGTCCTTTCTATCTCTAACATTCTACGTTCTAAGGTCCCTTCTAGCTCTAATATTCTCAGTTTTAAGGTCCTATTCCATTCTGTCTGTATTCTATGTTCTCACATCCTTTCTAGCTCTAACATTCTACATTCTAAGGTCCCTTATAGCTTAGTCCATATTCTATGTTCGAAGGTCTCTTCTAACTCTAAGATTCTGTTCTAAGGTCCCTTCTAACTTTAACATTCTATGTTCTAAGGTCCCTTCCAGTTCTAACCTTTTATGTTCTGTGCTCTAGTGTCCCTTCCAGTACTGTCATTCTGTGTTCTAAGATCCTTTACAGTTCTAATAGTCTTTGTCTTCCTAGCTCTAGCACTCTGAGTTCTAAGGGCACTGCTAATTCTAACATTCAGGATCCCTTCTAGCTCAGACATCCAGTGCTCTAAGGCCGGGTCCAGCTCTCTGCATGCCTCACCCGGTGGCAGCAGCCATGATGCACCCGCCATCCGCAGCGCTCGCTGAGCAGCAGTCTGCAGAGTCATGGCTCATTCCAAAGTTGTGGCCCATCTCATGGGCCATGGTGGCAGCGACCCCAATGGCATTCTCTGAGTGATCCTGAGCAAGAAGAGAGTTCAGTCAAGGTGAGCAGTTCTAGGTCACCACCCATAACCCTGACCTCCCCTAAAGATCTCCTCTGCCATTCTTTACTGATCCAGCCTTCTAACACACACACAGACATTTAATAGGTGCTTTGAGAACCTATGATACAGTGATTTGGGAGTCATTTTTCTTTATAATTTGAAGAGGATGAACTTATGATATTCTATACTGGATCAAACACATGGTCTATGCCTCAGATTGGCTACCTACCTACCATGGGACATGTTGTACAAGGCCTTAGTTATTCTCCTTGACATCACCGTGAAAGGTTGGAAGTGAACCCCCAAAACATCTTCATGAGGAAGATCTCAGCTGAGGTTAGCAGCTTTCTACAGCATTTACCAACACCCATTACTGCATAAGAACAGTTCTATTACTTTCTTAGCAACTTGGTTAGAACGTACAGGAGAGTCTAGAAAACTCTGAATATTTCTACAAGGGATTGAGGACCTGAATTGGGTCAGGGAATAATGTTATCCCATCAGGAATAAAATCTAGCTGAAATTCATGTTAAATTAATTGACCTGGATTTATGGTTCAGATGAATACACACCAGAGCCCAGCCTTTTAGCTTACATGGCAATTGCTTTCCTGTCTCCTCTTCTCTGTTTTCTCATTAGGGATTGCAGAGAGGAGCTACATAGGAGGCCTGGGACATGAGGTTCCCTCTGCCAATACTTGCTGGGATTGCCACCAGTAGTTCCCAGTAGGACAGGGATGAGGGGTGGGGAGGTGGAAGCCAGTTATTTCAATCCAACAGGAAATATAGAGGCGATTTGCAGAGATACAGGTTTCCTGGTTCATGCAACGATTTAGTCAGCTTCTGTTTACCTGGCTTATTGAATGGGACTCACCATGTTGACCCCTCCAGACTGGTACACAGAGCACATGGCCATCAGTGGGGCCAGGCCAATTGTAGTGCCATGGAAAGACATTCCCCTGAAAAAGAAGAGAGAGGGTAATGAAGCTTGGCTTGAGAGGATCACTTCAAAAGTAAGCCAGATACAGGAACACCCTAATCACCAATGACCTATTACCGTTTCAGTGGTTTCACTGAAAATCAGCTTTTTTAAGCCCATCCTCTGACTCACAGACAAACAAAGGTCTTTTGGTCTCTGGGTCATCTCTATTGCTTCCAAGAGACCCCACCCCACCCCCTCACACCACCATTTTCCTTCACTCTCTTCCAGGCAAACTCACAGAGGAGGACAGAAGTCAGTGACTTCAACAGCCAAAGATGTAGTTTCCCTCTCTCCTCCCCTTCCTACGATATACCAATAGCCTAATCTACACTGGAAGGAAATGAGCAGGGTTTACAAATTGCTTCCCATTCCTGCTGAACAGGATGAAGCCAGCTGTGTGGAGGAGGGGATAAGGAGGGGGAAAGTGGCATAGGTCCTGATGCCAAGATGATTCACACTCATATCCTCCAGGGGCCAAGCTTCATCATCAGCATCCCAGGTAAAAAGAGGGTTTTGGTGTGTGACCCCGCCCCATATCAACAAAGCTAATGCCACTTGGGCTGCATTGCACACTTGTAGGAAGAAATGTATAAAATCTGCCGTGGTAAGATCACATCTGGATCTCGTGCTCAGTTCTGGACTCTAAGCTGGAAAGGATCCAGAGAAGGGCAGCCATGACAGTGAAGGGCCTCGAGTCCGTGCTATATGCAAAACTGAGCTGAAGGAACTGAGCGTATTTAACCCAGAAAAGAAAGGACTGGTGGGGGCAGGGAGAGAAGAGGGACAACAGCTGTCTTTAAATATTCAAAGGGTCATTATATGGGAAAGGGACCAGACTCGTCCTGTTGGTCCTCAGAGGACAGGGATAGAAGCCATGAGTAGAAGATACAGAGATAAATTTAATCTTGATTTAAGGAAAATCTTCCAACAACTAGAGCTATCCACCAGAGGAATGGGCTACCTTAGAAGGAGTGGGATCACCCTCAATGGCAGTCTTCAAGCACAGGCTGGATAACTATATGCCTGCTATGTTATAGAAGGACTCCATTTGAAGTATGCGTTGGATGGGATGAAGACTGAGGTCCCTTACAATTCTCAGATTCCGTGGTGCTACTTTCCAAAGGTCCCTTCAAGTTCCAACATTCTATGTTCTGAGGTCCTTTGCAGTTCTAACATTCTTTTTGTTTTCCCTCTTGAGACTGGGTCTCCTTATCTCACCCAGGCTAGAAGTACCGCAACCACTCATAGGCCTAATGTCACTGCTAATTGGTAACAGAAGCTTTGATCTTTGGTTTTTCTGACCTAGGCCAGCTCGACCTTTCTTAGGGCAGCCTGGTGGTTTTCTGGTCTGGGGACCTCAGCATATTACTGCCAGACTTAGTGTAGATACCCGATCAGCCTGTTGTGGCTCAGAACCCCCAAACTCCAGGGATCCACTAGCCTCAGCAGCCCCCAGAAGCAGAGGCTACATCCTTTCTGAAAGGACGATCACAGCCTCTACTGCCCTTACCTTATACTTACACGGTGTATATCTATATGGTGCATGTACTTATTTGTTCATTAACTCTCCATAGAATGTGAGCTCTTTGAAGATGAGGACCACATTTTTGCCTTCCTTTGTATCCCCAGAACTTAGCACAATGACTGATACATAGTCACAGTTATTATGGTTAACATGCTTAATATAGTTATTATGCTTAATAAATGCTTATTGACTCATTTTGTGGCCGAGCTTGGGAAAAGATACTCCATACTGGGAGCTCCCCAAAAGCTTGAGGCCCAAGTAGTCTAAACACAACCAGAGCTCTGTTTTGCTGATACCTTCTCCAGTTTTGTACCTTGAGAGTTCTTGTCATTAACTCTCATCAGCCTTTCCCTTTTTTACTTTTCCTTAGCTATGGGCATCCCCTTTTCTTTATTGTGTGCATCTGGGGAGAAGAGACAAATGAGTGGGGAAGAAGAAATAAGGAAGATAAAAAAACAAAACAAAACATGACAATCTCTGGTCAGTAATTTTTTAAAAAAGAAAAAAATTCTGCAATGAATCTGAGAACTTATTATTGTGTTTTCTTTCCACTAATACAGATTGCAACCTCTCTATGCCTTTTTATCCCATGCAATTCCTTTCCCACAGATCATCCCAGAAGATCTCCCCAATGTGATAGAGGCCTTACTCTCCTTCCTTTAACCTTTCGTAGGATCATAATATCATAATTTTAGAGCTAGAAATGAGTTAGAGGTGAGATAATCCATCTGCACCCATTTTATAGACAAGTCAAGTGATTATTATTGCCCCAATTAGTAAGAGGTAGAGCCAAGACTCATGCCTACGTCCTCTGACTCCAAAGCCAGCACCCTTTCGAAGCACTCAACCAGTGTAACAGACACAGGCTTTTATCCAGTCAGCTTTTATCCCTCTTATTCTACAAGGCTCCTTTTCCAGCCATAGAGGTCCTTGATGAGGGATTTTCTGCCATGCCTTCCTCCTCATATTAAATTCAAAAGCACTTGTCGATCTCCTAATATTTTCATAATCTGGGTGAGATGCTTGGGAAGACCCAAGGGTGGACCAAGATCGGAGTACCCCTGTGATCCAGCCAGACTGGACTTCTCTCTATTTCTCATACAGGGGATTTCATCTCCCACCTCCAAGCCTTGGCATTGGCTGCTCCTCATGTCTAAGATGTGCTCTGTGCTCATTCCACCTTACAGAATCTCTCTCTTCCTTCAGGACACAGCTCCATCACCACCTTCTACAGGACACCTTCTCTGATAGCCCTGACTCCTAGGCGCCCTCTCTCCCTCCAAAACCACTTCACGTTTAACCACTTTGCATTTATTTGTCCTTATTCTCTTCATATTTATTCTGGAAATGCTGACAAATGTATTGTGGTCTCCCCCATTTGACTGCAAGGTCCTTGAGAGCAAGGATTGCTTCATCTTTCCTCCTTGTGTCCCTAGAGCCTGGCACAATGTCTAGTAGGTACTTAATAAATACTTGTTTATTGATAGAAGGATGACCATAGAACCATGATGCCAGCCTACTCCAGGGAGTTTCCAAGAGCTGGAGAAAATATTTCAGGCAACATTCCATTGGATGGCTGTCCCGTTGCCCTCCATCACGGTAGATTCCACCCTGCTGACCGTTGTATTAAAATACATCAATTGTTATTTGACTTAGCTGATTAGCAAATATCTCAGATTCATAGAATTTTGATTCTGAATAGGTAGGAGAGGTGAGAGTCTCCTGTTAGCTTATGACCTTTGTCCCCTGATTGTCCTACTCTATGCCCCTGGAGTCTATCTGTGGAGATCTAATGCAGGTTCCCAGCAAGGCTTCTCTCTCATACCATGTAACTTTGCTTTTAATGCTCTTCTCTGTTAACGGACTTTGGGTTCTACGTCCCCAGAGATCATCATGGCAATGAGCACAGAAGTTTCCACGATGGGGGGAATGACCGCCAGTCTCTGCAGCCCAAGTAATTAGAGACAAAGAAGCCCCAGGGAACAGGTTCCTACCTCATGTGCCAATTAGTTTTACATAAAGAAAACTCCTGACCACACAGCTAACTGTGTGATAAATGTGTGCTCTCTGTCCCGGGGGGCTTTGCTTCACTCCCTAATTGGTCATATCTTCTCCCTTCTTATGGGCAGGAACGATGCTTTATATTCCTTCTATGCTGCTTGGCACAGTGCTGGGCACGTGGGATCATAGGATAGCTACCTAGAAAGGGCCTCAGCATAGTGCCTTGCACACAGGAGATGCCGAATAAATACTAGATTGAATCTAGTCCAAGACCCTCATTTTATAGATGAGGAACCAGAAGCCCAGAAATAGGAAGTGATTTGGTCAAGTAGTAAGTAGTGGAGTCCAAACTTTAACTCAGGCTGAGTGACTGTAAATCTAGTGCTCCCTCCACTCCCCCACACTGCTTGCCAGTATGTGCTTACTCATTTCAGAGCCATGGGCAACCACCCCACCACAGGATATCCTGCAGATAGCCCCAGGGATGAACTCCACAGCAATGGGGACTTTAAGAAATTCCAATTAACGAGCACTTATGAAGTGCCTGCTCTCCCCCAGGCATTGTGCTGCACTATGCGGATGTAAGGACAAAAATGAAAAAACCAATATCCTTAAGGATTCTGCTTCTTTTCTATGAATCAGGGAAGTGATTAAAGGATACCGCATTCATCACTTGTTTAGGACCCTTCTATTTTAAGGGAGGTCTACAAAGCTGTTATCCTGACTTCATTGTTGTATGCCTGTGAAACCTGGACAGTATATCAGAGCTGTGCCAGGACACTGAATGGCTTTCTTCTGAATTGTCTTAGAAAGATTCTGAAGATCACCTGTCAAAACAAGGTCCTGGACATGGAGGTCCTTCCTCGAGCTGAACTGCCAAAGCATTCAAACTCTACTATAGAGAGCGCAACTCCAATGGATTGGCCACGTTGCTCAAATGCCACATATACGATTGCCTAAAAGACTATTTTACAGAGAATTCACACAAGGCAAATGCTCACACAGAGGAAAGAAGAGATATAATGACACTCTCAGGGTTTCTCTGAAGAACTTTGGAACTGATTATGAGACATGGGAGACACTGGCACAGGACTGCACAAAGAGAATTGCAATCGCTCAAAAGAAATGTGAGATGCACACATTTAGGGACATCTCCACTCCAAATGTTCATATGGACTATTTGTGCCCGACCTGTGGTAGACCCTTCCAAGATTGTATTGATCTGATCAACCTCAGCCAGACACACTGTACCTTGACTCCAACATAATGACACCATTTTGGTCCTCTTCTAGCACAAAGGACAATAACCAATAATTTTAAGGGATCAAGGGATCCTGTATCCATCACTGGTTTGGAACCCTTCTATTTTAAAAGATCAGGGGATCCTGCATCCATCATTTATTTGAGACTCTTCTATTTATCCCAAGGACTTAGCACTGCCTTCCTAGATAGATCTGGAGATAGACTTTGGTCCTGGGCCAAAGGAGGCAATGCTACTGCCCCATCAAAACCAGACAGACCAGCCCCCTTTAAGACCAGGAAAGAGCACTTAAAGTCAAGAGGTCAAGGGAAAAGTTTCTGAGCGGTTTTTGACAGCAAACCCCTGTCAGCACAATCCACATTTCGGGGAACATTCCTGGCTGCGGCCTCTGAAGTCTGACCTCTGCCCTTCTGCTGCCTTACCTACTTTCTTAGAGCTCCTAGTCTCAAATGCAGCCTATTAACTAAGCATCTGCCTGGCTCATGATCACTGCAGACTTGGCTGTCCATGCACGACCGCCTCGTATTCCTGTAAAGAATGCCTATACCACTTCAGCCAGCTGCTGACCTAGCCTAAACCTTTGTAGCCTCTATACCTGTTCCCCTGACCTAACCCTATCCTAGCCACCTTCACTCCTAATGACTGGCTCCACACTATAGCCTGCCACGGTTCCTTCTTTGTATCCCCAGAACCTAGCACAGTGCCTGGCATGGGCTCCCTAGAATTTCCTTGGGGAAACCACCACCTCCCCCCAGCCTGGACCCAGGCCATCTTCTTGGACATCTCTCAGGAAATCCAAGCAGTTAAATATTTACTCATAGTGAGAGTGGGCATCTACAGTGCAAGCTAACCCAGCTCCTTCTTTGTCTCATGGGCATTCATTATTTGAATCATGTCGTCTTTTCAAAATGGTTGCCCATTATGCTTTACATTATCTTTACATTCTCTTTTGGTTCTCACAATGCTTCCAGAAAGTAGTATTATTATCCCCATTTTACAGAAGAGGAAATTGAGGTTTAGACAAGTTAAGCAATTAGCCTAAGGTCACACAGTAAGTAGTAGTAGAGCTGGGATTAGAACCCAAATCTTCTATCTCCAAATCTAGTGGTCTTTCTAGTTCACCACCAATAGTGATGGGTACTGTTCTCTTCATAGAGGGAAGACAGTTCAGGAATAGGCCACATACGTGATCAACTGGGCATTGTCATGGTTCTTCTGTACAAGCAGCTTGCGCCTCCAGCTGAGAAAGGACCAGAGAGTAGAATAGGGATTCTCTGAGACTTCACACATATTTCCGTGTGTCCAGACTTCCAAGCCCACGAGGGCAATGCGGATATTCAAGGAGCGATAAAACTGAAAGGATAAGGGAGAAAAAAACCATTGGTATCTCTTCTTATTCTTCAGTCGTTTCATTTGCGTCTGACTCTCTGTGACCCCATTTGGGGTTTTCTTGGCAAAGATACTGGAGTGGTTTGCCATTTTCTTCTCCAGCTCATTTGACAGATGAGGAAACTGAGGCAAACAGGGTGAAGTGACTTGCCCAGAAGTGTCTTAGGCCAGATCTGAGCACAAGAAGATGAGTCTTCATCTGGTGTTCTATCTACTGCACCACCTAGCTGCCCCTCATATCTCTTTACCATCTTTTAAAATAACATTGCTTTGGATTCACATCATCTTTTCCCTCCTGATTAGTCAAAGCATCAGTGATCGCATTGGTTTTCTCAGCATCTCTTGGGGCATAAAGAAACAGGCATTAGGCCCATCTTTTAGATAGGGAAAAAGAGACAAAGAGGTCAAAGGCTGCTGACAGAAGCAAGACTAGGATCTCAGGAACAAGAGCTAAAAGATGCTCAGAGACCACCTTGTTGGTCCGAACGACATGACGACTGATTATCAGAGGGATTAAGTAGAGGTAAGATGGCAGAGCAGAAAGAGCACTGCAATCAGAGAACTGAGGTTGGAATCTCAATTCTATTATTGATTCCTTGATCTCATCCTTAATGAGAAGTTCAAGTCTGGCCTCAGATACTCACTAGCTGTGTGACCCTGGGCAACTCAGTTAACCCTGTTTGCCTCAGTTTCCTCATCTGTCAAATAAGCTGGAGAAGGAAATGGCAAACCACTCCAGTATCTTTGCCAAGAAAACCCAATGGGGTCACCGAGAATCAGATACAACTTAAAAATAACAAACAATAACAATAACAACCTGGCAACTCTAAAAGACAGGCAAACTTCCCACTTGCTGAAGCCCGAGAACGATAGATAGGAAATGAAAAGCAGCAGAATCTGCCTCCTCCAGCGGCCGAGGGGGAAGCCAAGTTATCCCATTTTTTCCAGATGTTGTTATTGTTTGGGTTTGGGAATTGTCCCAATATTATTGTAAAATAGGCTGAGGGCAGGACAGAGGTGCTACAATAATGCCCCAGGGGACTGAGTCTTCTACTCGTTCCTTGTCCAAGCTTGGCAGTAATAGAATCATGGCTTTCTTCCTTCCAGGTCCCCTTTCCTCCCTAATGCCCACCAGAGGGAGTAGGTTTGGGTCTCACTCATGGATACATCATTTAACTGGAAGAGAAGTAAAGTCCCACACTTGGGTCAATTTTTTTTAATCAGCTGTGAAAACACAGAATGAGGGAGACAAGGCAGGACAGCAGCTACGTTGAAAAAAAAAACTGGGTTTAGCTGACTACAAGCTCAGTGAGAGGCCCCCAAGACCAATACCATGTTAGGGTATATAAGTAGAATTCTAGTTCAAACAAGCAGGACAGCTTTGAAAGTTACATGTTGAATTTATTATACACTTAAAAGGAAAAACAAGATGCCTATAATAGAGAAGCACAGTCTCATATTAAGTCTCCTTTTCTATTCTATTTCATACACGGAAATGTTTATTTTATTTGGTGTTGGTTAAGTTCAGCATTAAAAAAAATTAAGCGATGAAGATGATTGTCCTGCTGTGTTCTGCCCTGGTCATCCTGGCCCCCAAGTCTGCTATTTAGTTCTGGGTGTTTCATTTTTCAGGAGAGATACTGACAAGCAGAATGTAACCAGAGGGATCAATCAGGTGAGTAAATAGGACTGGAAAATATACCATATAAAGATGTTCAGGCTTTGGGGGGATATAAGCACCACCTTCAAATATCTAAAGGGCTGTCACGTGTAAGAGGGAAGAGACTAGTTCTACTTGGGCCCAGAAATAAGATCACTAATGAAAATTAAAGGGGAGGTTTCCGGTTTGATAGAATGTAAAACCTAAAGAGAGTTCAAGGAGAACTCTCTTTAAATGGAACACCTACAGACAATGAGAACTCCCCTTAAATGGAGTAACTGGTTCTGGAAGGAATGAGTTGCCATCTCTGGAGGTGTTCAAGCAGAAACTGGACTGCCATTGGCCAGGGATGGTGCAGAAGAGATTCCTACTCTGGCGTGGCATTGATCTCAGAGGCTTCTAAGTTCCTTTATAGTTCTAAGACCCTATAATTTCAAAAACTGTAAAATTCCACTGGGAAGAGACTATGTGTTGTGAGGTTAACTTGTTCTGTGCCATGTAGATTATATATAATAAGCTGCCAAAATCCTGTTGTTGCTGCTATTTGGTAGTTTCAGTCATGTCCGATGCTTCATGACCCCATCTGGGGTTTTCTTGGCAAAGAGTAGTTTGCCATTTCCTTCTCCAACTCATTTGACAGATGAGGAAACTGAGGCAAACAGGGTGAAGTGACTTGCCCAGGGTCATACAGCTAGTAAGTGTCTGAGGCCAGATTTGAACTCAGGAAGGGGAGTCTTCCTGACTTTACACCTGGCAAAATCTTAGAGTAGGAAAATACCTCAAGAGGCTCAAACCTCCTCTTACAACACCCCTGACAAGCGGCCATCTTGGTCTCCACTTGAAGACCTCCAGGAATAGGAAACTCATCACCTCCTGAGGCACCTTGTTCTACTTTTGAATAATTGTAATCATTGACTTTTTTATATATTAAGGGGAGAGAGTGTGTGGTAGAGCAGATAAATAGCTGGCCTTGGGACCAAGCAGACTTTGGTTGAGTCCCATCTCTGACACATGCTGGCCCTGGAGAAGTCATTAACGCTTTCAGTGCTCTAGGCCAATGGCGTAAAACTCAAATGGAAATGAGGACCACTAGACTGCACAGAAGGATTCCTGCCAGTCATATACCGAATTAGAAAATCACATATTAACACTCTCTGCTCTATTCCTGACACTAAAATTAAGAACTGTACATGGATTTTAAAATGTATTTTTTAAAATTTCATGAAATATTTCCCAACTTCATTTTAATCTGGTGTGGGCCATGTGTGTTTGACACCTCTGCTCTGGGCAAATCTCTAAGACTAGAATTTGAAAGGAAGGTGCCTTACTTACATTAGTAGAGGGAGTTTCCCTCACCTGGGAGTCCCCTATACCAATGAAATCACCCTTTCAGTCCCTAACCTACCAAGTTGAAATCTATCTCTCTGTACGTTCCACCCCTTGCCTCTAGTTCTTCATTCTAGCGTTAAGAAAAACAAATACTTGAAGGTTCAGCTATCAGCTTCCCAGATCCCAACCCCAAGCTTTTTCTTCTCTAATCCAAATATCTCCAGGACTTCAACTGGCTTAGTGGTTCTTTCACTATCAGGGTCACCCTCCTGTAGGCATAATCCAGCTTGTCAAGGCCTTTCTTAAAATGTATTGCTCATAACTGAATACAATAATCTGATGTAGTTAGAGTTCATGTGAAAAAAATTGGGGGGTTTTCATGGACTGAAACTCAATAGGAATCAATACTGTTATGTAGTAACCAAAAAAAGCTGATAAGAGATCAGACAAGCCTAAAGTACAGAACAAAAAAAAAGGACACAGGTCTATGGTTTTGGGAAACCAAGATTAGGATTTTATAGTTATCCACATTAAATTTAATCTTATTACATATGTTCATAATTAAACTCATCTTTCAGCCCATCAGGATATTTTTAATTGAAACTCTACTATTCAAATATTAGCTAACCCTCACTGATTTATGTCATCTGAAGATCTGGTAAGCTGCTATCTGTACTTCATCGATGTCATTGTCAAAAATATTGAGTAAGGCAGATTCAGTGGTAGAGTCTCATGGCACTCCACAGCCCTCTATGTTGACACTGATCTATTCATCATCACTTTTGTATGTCTGTCAGTCAGCTTTAAACCTATCTATTTTATTTTCTAACCTCAATGTCTCCGTCTTGTCCATTAAACATTATGCACTATTTTGTGAAATGCCCTGCTGAAATTCTGTTCAATTATGCATACAATATTCCTCTGATTTATTACTCATCTGGTAGTTAGATCAAAGGAAATGAGGTTACTCTGGCACAATTTGCTCTTAGTGAAGACATGATGGCTCACAGTGACGACTGTTTCCTTTTCTAAAATTTTCATACACTGTCCCTTTAATAATCCATTCTACACACCTGGTCTCACCTTATCAACATAATTAGCGATCTCCATGAGTTTGTGTTTGGTGGCGACCTGGTCTCGACGGTTCTTCTGAAACTAAAAGGAACAAACAAAAAAAACCAGGTGATTCCTCAGAAATAGGCTCAGAATGTCTATCCCCTTTTCCCCACTGATACCCACGACAACCGAGCATCTTACAAGCTCCGTCTTTTACCAAATGATGACAAGTTCATCCAACTTTTCTAGGACTCGGAGCAGGGAAAGATACCTTAAATCTTGCCATTCTCAGCACTATCCATGGTTAGGGTCATCACCTCCATGTTGCTCAGGAGATATCCCCAAATATAACCATTCAAGGAAATGTGTCTAATAATATTGAAAGCTTCACAGGGAGTGTGGTATAGTGAATAGAAAATTGACTTCGAAGTCAGGAAGGATTGTGTTGACTTCTGGACACCACAGGAGGTTAACAAAGACACTGATAAATTGAAGAATGACTAGAAGAAGGCAACCAGCATGGCAAAAGGCTTTGAGACCAGATCATATGAGGACTAGTTGAAGGAATTAAGCATATTTAGCCTTGAGAAGAGAAGACTCAGGGGTGACATGATAGCTTCTTCAAATACATGGTGGGCTAACATATGGAGAAGGGATTAGACTTATCCTGTTAGGCCCTAGAGGAAAAACCAGGATCCAATTTAGGATCAATATCAGAAAAAAATGTCCTAACAATTAGAAGTGTCCACACGCAGAACAGGCTTAGAGGCCTCCAAGCAGAGGTCGGATGATCACAGCTGCTGAGGACCCTCCCAGCTCCTACATCCTGTGACTCAGTGATTCCTGCCTCTGACACAGACTGGCCACATGATGCTGGGCAAGTCACTTAATCTCTCACTGCTCCCAAGCAACGCTCTAGGACTATAAGCTTCAGACCTTCTGCAATGATGGAGGAAATTTCCCCGGGGGGGTTCTGTATACCAAAAAAAGCATAAGTCAGAGGAGCAGGAGGAGGGGGGATGAAGAAGAAGAGGAGAAGGAGGAATAGGAAGAGGAAAACGAGAAAAAGGAGAAGAAAAAGGAGGAAAAGAGGAGAAAGAAAAGGAGAAGGAAAAGGAGAAGGAGAAGAAGAAAAAAAGCAGCTAGATAGTGCAGTGGATAGAGCACCAGGCCTGGAGTCAGGAAGACCTGAGCTCAAATCCAGTCTCAGTCGCTTACTAGCTGTATGATCCTGGGCAAGTCACTTAACCCTGTTTGCCTCAGTTTCCTCATCTGTAAAATGAGCTGGAGATGGAAATGCAAACCACTCCAGTATCTTTGCCAAGAAAACACCAAATGGGGTCACAAAGAGCTGGACACAACTAAAAAAAACTAAACAACCGTAGTAGTAGCAGTAGTAATAGTAGTAGTAGTAGTAGTAGTAGTAGTAGTAGAAGAAGAAGAAGTAGAAGTAGTAGTACTAGTTTCAATTAACACATCATCATCATAGTAGTAGTTTCGATTAACACAAGACTAAGTTTTACAAAGAATTTGTTGACAATAACCCCATGAGGTACTGTTATTCTCCTTTTACATATGAGGAAACTGAGGACTGGTGATATGGTGGACCCCCCAGAAGCAGAAGATCAACAAGTTGTTTAGGACGGGCAGAGTGACCCAGATCAGAAAAATGGAGCAGGTTAGAGCTCTGGTGCTGATCATTCCCAGACTCAGCCTCCTAACTAGATGCTGCACTTCTAGCTCGGGTGACATAAGGAGACCAAGTCTCAAAATAAAAGAACATAGAACAGAACAGAGGCAAGTTGAGAAGGGAACACACACAAGCAGAGCAGTTAGATACTACCGTGTTAAATTCAATAGGCACTTTTAAAACTATTAGTAAAAGTTCACTTTCATACATAATCTTCTCTTTTCTGTTCTTTTCATATTGAAATGTTCATGTCTATTAAGTTCATGATGAAAAAAAGGAAAGAACAAAATTTAAATAAAGAAGATAGACTCACGGGACTAGTTCAAGGACTAGAGGGGGAAATGTGATAAATAATATTTGAGTGAAGATCAATATAGGCAGGAATAGAAGCAATATTGTAAGTGGAATATACTACAGACAACCTGGACAAAAAGAGGAAATGCATTAAGACATCTTGGCACACAGTCACGATATAGCAGTGACAAGGGACTTCAGTTATTCAGACATCTGCTGGTTCTCTCTCTCTCTCTCCCCTTCCCTCCCTCCTTTTTCTGTCCATCTCTCCCTCCCTCTCTCTCTCTCTCTCTCTGTATGTGTGTGTGCCCCAAAAGTAGAACAGCTAATAACTTCTTGGTTTCCCTTAATTATCATTTCATTCTTCAAAAGAGAATTATGGTTAGATCTGGTTTAAGGGACTGGGGACATTTAGGCAAAAGATGACTAGGGGGCAGGGATCAGCTGGGGAAATGATGGCTGTGTTACAGTGAAGTGTGACCTTCTAGAAGGAAGCTATGGTTTTTCATTTTTGTCTTTGTATTCTCAACACTGAACATGGAGTCTTGCACATAGTAGGTATTTTAATAAATGTCTGTTGAACTGAAGTATTTGAAGAGTTGCCGCATGGAAGGGACACTTGTTCTGTGTGGCACTAGAGGACATAATGAGGAGCAACAGGGGGAAGGTGCAGAGGTGGATTTAGGCTTCTTGAAGGAAGTCATTCCCACAGTGGATAGAGCTCCAGCCTTGGAGTCAGGAGGACTGGAGTTCAAATCCGGCCTCAGACACTTGACACTTACTAGCTGTGTGACCCTGGGCAAGTCACTTAACCTCATTGCCAAAAGGCAAAAAAAAAAGTCATTTCCTAATGATTAGAGCTATCCCACAGAGGAATGGGTTGTCTTGGGAGGTAGCAGATAGCTCCCTGAAGGGAGTGGGAGCCCCAAGAGAGGTCTTCAAGCAGAAGCCAGATTACCATTTGACGGGTAGAGTGTAGACAAGGCATTCCATCAGGTAAGGTTTGGGAAAAACCGCCTCTCTGGTCCCTTCTAGCTTTGAAATCCTGTGGTTCTGTGTGGTGCCAAATGAGAGACACAGAGATCTATCAGATCTCGGAGAAGAATATATTCCCTTTGAGCTAGTGTCATCGAGTACTTCATGCTTTGGCAGGTGGGATTTTCTCCCACTCAGCCTTATTTTCTCAAGCATTGACAGCAGCCTGATAAGCAGTCCTTTGGACATGACCGAATAACAACCCAACTCAATTTCTATGTGAGAGGGACCGCACGGGTTGTTCCAACCCAAAACACTCTACCCCCTCTCCCTGTTCCTTCCTCTTCATCTCCCCAGTAAATACCTATCCCAAGAGCTAAACCTTATTAACAGCAAGCATCAACAGGATTAGTACAATGATGAACTAGAAGCGGACATCCAACTTCAGCTCACCTCCCAAAGACCTGCAAGAATCCCAGGGCTTCAGTAATCAATCAAGAAGGATTTATTAAACGCCCACTATGCGCCAGGCATTGCGCACAACGGGAACTAACATTAGTGAAATACGGATAAAGAGTAGATGATTTCATTAGCATAGGGAACTCCTAAGGAAGGGAAATTCCTCTGCCAAATCAGGACAGCTCCTTATCATCTTAAGAAATTGCCTAGGGCCCTGAGACCTTAAGTGACTTGCTCAGGGTCACAGAGCCAATGTATGCCCAAAGGGGATGTGGACTTAGATCATCATGGTTTCAAGGGCACTTTCCTATTTGCTATGCAGCTGTGTAATCTTGGACAAGTCACATAACATCTCAGTGACCCAGACAACTCCGTAAGAGGAGTATGAGTTGTAGGGAAGGTGCCACCTGAATTGGTAGAGGGAGCTCCTCAGAGCAACGAAACTACAGGTCCGACGACAGCTTTGTTGTTGCTGTGAAGTAGTTTTAGTCATGTTGGACTCTTCATGACTCCATTTGGGGCTTTTTTCCCCAGATACTGGAATGATTTGCCATTTTCTTCTCCAGCTTCTTCTACAGATGAGGAAACTGAGGCAAACAGAGTTAAGTGACTTGCCTAGGATCATATAGCTAGTAAGTGTCTCAGGCCACATTTAAACTCAGGTCTTCCTAATTTCAGGCCTGGCACTCTCTCCGCTGTACCACCTAGCTTCCCCCCAGTGACAGCAGACTCTCACAATAAGACCGATTACTATGGTGTGGCTAGGTGGTGCAGTGGATAGAGCACTGGCCTAGAAAGGAAGACCTGAGTTGAAATCTGGACCTAGGCCAACTGAACAACAACAACAACAACAACTACTACTACTACTACTACTACTACTACTACTACTACTACTAAGATATGGAACTAAATAGAAGGGGGACTCTCAGGTCAGCCCTTTCCAAAATAGGTTTACTGCAGGAGGACATCATATAAAATAATCTCGTCTCTATATCTATAGGATCTTATAAGTTCCTTGAGAGTGGGGGCAGTTTCTTTATGTCCTTATAGGCCCGGTTATCTCCTCACCCATGCTGCTGACCCCACACTGCAGAATCCTGGCACAAAGAGTGCTACAGCAGGGGCAGTGTTAGAGGGAAACACCTCAGGGTATTTCCGTGGTCCTCTGCCCACCACTCTTGGTTAGATCCATTTCCAGGGGCTCTGTGCACCTCCCTTCCCTGGAATGTATTTTGTCCTCACCTCAGTCTCCACAATCCCTTATCACCTTCCAAATGAAGCTCAGGAACCACTTTCTATGAAAATCCCTTCCCCACCTTCTCAATCCTATATGCAATTCCCTTGTATTTATTGTGCATTGATTCTGTATGCATGCATGCATATATGTATGTATATATGTGCATGTATACGTGCATATGTGTGATGTACACATATATCTATATATACCTATACAGATACTTCTCTACTTACCTATATAGATGCAGATATTAACGTCTATATCTATTTCTTGTTTTCCCTGATAGAAGGTAAGAGGAAGAATTCTTTCCATATTTCTCTTTGAATCCCCAGCACCTTGTATAGTGTCTGACACAGAGGAGGCATTTATTGATTGCTGTTTATTTACCATATCTTCAAACAGATAATCTTTGATGACTATATCAATTCCAACCTCAGCCTCCCA